AGGCTTGGTTCAAGTGCCACCTACTCCATGAACACTTTTGTGGCTCTTCCCTTCCATTCAGGAAGAATTGATCCCTCTCCCTGTGAGTGTAGAATCCTCCCCCACCCTGACATACATAACTATTTCCCACTCACACTTCCATTGGGGGTCTTATGATAGCTAATTGCCTTTTTTGTTTACTTGTTTACCCCCACCTAGGGTTGCCAGACAAAACGCAGGACACCCAGTTAAGCTCGAGTACCACTTCATTATTGCATGAGGCACACTTACTAAAACAGGTAAGTATTGTTGATCTGCAATTCAAGTTTAACTAGATGTCCTGTATTTTTCTTTGCTAAACCTGGCACCCTTCCCCCACCTCCACTTCCAACTGTGGTCTCCTTAATGGTGGATCATGTTTCTGGCTGAGCTCTGAATTCCCGTGACTAGCGCAATGCATTACAGTTAGTGCTCAGTTGACGTTAAGAGAATAGCGACTTCTCTGGCTGCAGGGTTGGGAATGGCTGGAGGGAGTTGAGACTAGAGACAAAGAGACCAGTTAGGAGGATGAGCAATAAGCCATTCCCCCAAACATAAAGGCTGCAACAGACTAGCGGATGGACTTGAAAAATCTGAAGCTCTGAAGACCAATAGATAAGGGAAGTGACTGAGCTCAAGGAGTCTAGGATGTTGCTCAGGTGTCTGGCTTGTGCCACCGGATGGAGGTTGGTGCCATTCACACAGGGGGGCACTGGAAGAGGTTTGGGTGCTGGAGAGCAGGGAAGGTCTTTGATGTGAGGCTCAGAGCAAGGTAGAGAAGCGTGGAGAGTGGATGTGACGGAGCGAACAGACGACTTCCAGGATAGGTATGTGAAGTTTGAGGTTTTGGAGGCTATTCAGACAGAAGTATTCGAAATACAGGCTTGGAGCTCAGGATAAAGGTTCAGGCTAGAGATACAACGTGACCATCATCAGCGTGGAAGTGGTAACTGAAACCATGGGAGTCCATAATGTTGCTCCGGGAGAGTAGAATGGGAAAGGAAGACGGCCTATATCAAAGCCCCGAGGAACAGTTGAGAGGCAGAGGGGAAAAGAAGCCCAAGAATAGTCTGAAAATGAACAGCTGAAGGGATGCGAGCAAACGCAAGAGTATGGGGTCAAGATAGTAATTGCAAAACAGGTTGTCAAGGAAGGATGACAAATTTTAGTGCTTCTGAGAGTTCAAAGGACAGGGCTGAGAGTAGCCTTTGGGTTTAGTAATGATGATGTCACTGGCGACCTCAGCAAGAGCTTTTTTAGGGAAGGAGAAGTGGAAGCAAATACACACACATGCACATACGTATTCACAGTGGAAGCAAATATATATATACATATGTGTGTATATATATATTCACAGTGTCAGTTTTGTTTAATACTGTGATATATTTGATCAAGTTTAAATGCAGAGGGAAAGGAGGTAATCAATTTTTTAAAAAAAGGTTGAAGAACGGGGAGGCTTGTAAATAATTGAGACGGAGAGCCCTGATATGGAGTCCTGAGAACAGCTAGAGGAATTCGTCTAGCTACAGGAGGACTCTAATAATAACATCTAGAACAGGGCATGATACCTCAAGGGTCATGGACTCCTAAGAAATCTGAATGAGCTTTAGCATCTGTGAATCCCCTAAAATTGTTTACCAGATTTACACATCAGTGGTTTTCAAGCATGTTTTTTTTGTGGGGGATGGCAGAGGAACCTTGGCTTTCATCATATTCTCTAAGGAGTCTACAACTCAAAACAGGTTGAGAAGTACTCCTGTGAACAGAAAGATGATCTCATATGGCACAATTCTCCTAGATCTCTTCTCTGATCTCTCGGCTTTCTACTCATCTTATCCTTTTCAAGATGGGACCTCAGTTTGCCTGTCCACAAACCATCTATAACATGGGTCTCCAGCCAAGGGAAATATGGAAATCCCTGGACAAGAGAAGAGGAAAGCAATTGGCAAGGGTAGGGGGAGCACTTAGAACCCCGTGCCTTGATTCTTGGATGAAACAAATCTACAGGAAAGTTTTGGGTGCTTCCTGAAGGAGAGAAATCGTCCTTTCAAAGCCACCTGTAGTGTTCCGTCTGACAAAAGGTGGTGATTTGATACCCCTTTGGAGGAGACCAGACCATTGTTCTGGGAAGAGCACTCAAACGGGAAATGTCGGTTTGTAAATGTGCGACAAAGACTACAGTTGAAAATGCAGGCACTGGAGCCACCTGTGACCCCCAGGGGTGAAAGTGCTCTACCTGGTGAGGTCATGTGCCAGGTGACCGCTGCTAAGTTGTAGGCAGAGAGGTGCAGTTCCTGTTTCCTTTGGGGAAAATGGCATTATTATTATTATTATTATTTTAAAAGAGGGATTTGGGTTGTTGTAAGCTGCAAACTGAGACTAGTTCTTGTGAGAATGTTCCTCTTGGAGAAGTTGCCATTTCCTCTGGGACTTTGTGAGATGTTGGGCACAATCTCCCTGGACCCTAGAAGGCAGCATTGAGTTGGCGGGACCTACTCCCTCAAAGGCTGGCAATTTGGGGGGTGTTGAGAGCTAGAACCTTTGGGTGGAGTTCCAACCTGCCTCTCTTGCTGTGAGCAAGATGATCGTCAGAGATGGCTTCACTCCGTCTCCTTAAGAGGCTTTGGCTCTGGCTGGTGTGGCTCAGCGGACTGAGTGCCGGACTGCGAACCAAAGGGTCACCAGTTCGATTTGCAGTCAGGGCATGTGCCTGGGTTGCGGACCAGGTCCCTACTTGGCGGTGCTTGAAAGGCAACCACACATTGATGTTTCTCTCCCTTTCTCCCTCCCTTGCCCTCTCTCTAAAAATAAATAAAATCTTAAATAAGGGAAAAAAAAAAAAAAGAGGCTCCGAGAGCAGAAATGGCCACTGAGGGGTGGGGCCAGAAGAAGGGTGTGGGAACTATGCCAAGCTATTAAGTCTTTCCAGCAGGGGCTCCCTGGCCCCAGTGACCCTGGAATGAACAGGCTGTCCCATTTTACCCTCAGCCAGGGCCAGGGCCCAGGCCTTTATGAGGTGTGTGCAAACTGTACGGCCCTGGCACCGTTTCCTTTGGTGGGGGTGGGGATGATTGGAGACTGAGGATCCTGAATCAGCTTGGAGGCGGAGAGCGGAGCCAAGGGGGTGCTTGAGGGCAGGAGGAGAGCACCAAAGTTTTGGGAGCACCTAGAAATGAGGCAGTGAACACAGAAGAGTAGAAGCACAGGTTTGGTTATCTTCCTTGACCCAGAACGAGCACTGCCCTCTGAGAACTCTTGCCAGCTCTGCATTCCGGCCTGGGCAAAAGGGGCGTGGGTGCCAAAGCAGGCAGGCACTTCGGCGGTTTGGAAGGGATTTTGGTCAGCAGCCTCAAAGGCCTGAAGCGTCCCGCCCTGATCCCGCCTCACCCTCATGGTGCTCTCGTGCACCCTGGCTGCAGCTACGGCCTCCATGCCCAACTCCATCTCCAGCCCAAACTGCCCTCCTCGGCTCCAGGCCAGCATGTCTCACGGCCTCCTGAGAACCTCTGGATGTCCCATGGTTCCTCTGACTCGGCATTCTTTCCATACACTCCTGTCTTATTGCCGCAGAAGAAAATTATATAGGACCAATTCATAGGACCCAGGAAAGAAGGTTCCACGGTACCTGCAGAAAAGCTCAGAGATTGCATTGCCTTTTGGGAGGTGAGTCAGGGACAGTGTGCAAGGCCAGGGACAGCACTAGCCTCTCCTTCCTTCCAGAGGACTGTGTGTAACTCTTAGCTTCTTGTCCTTTTTCTTACTATTTGCCAAATTGAATTTAAATAATTATTTATGTAGTTATTTAATGTCTGTTTCTCCAAGTTTAACGTTAAGGGCAGAGATCATGCCCCTTTCACTTCTGTATCCCTGATGCCTGCCCAGTGCCTGACATGTAAGAGATACTTAATATTTGTTGAATGCACAAATGAATACTCGAGCTCATCACCCAAGAGGTAGGTTCCTCTTGGGACCCTCAGTCTTTCCCTTCCTTCTTAGCTCTTTGATGCTCTGTGCTTCATCCCCACCCCCTACCCCCGAGCCAGCCTCCCACTGGCCTTTTCAGATGCCCTCTTGTCCTGAGCTGCTTCATGCTATGTGGGTAGTGAGCTCCCCGTGCTGGACCATCTGCAAGCAGAGGCAGTGAATACAACTGTCAGGGTGCCCTGAGGGCAAAGCACTGATCAATGACTGGAGTGGAGCAGTATGTGCTTTTTGCCCATTAAGCAAAGCCCCCAGGATGCCCAAGGTCACAAAGGCAGGGCTTTCCCCACCAGTAACCCCAAGCTCCAAGTGCTGGAGACTGTGCAGGGGGTTGTAAGCTGGCCTGCCAGGACTGGTGAACACACCTTTGCCACCTGCTCTGTGTTCCGTGCCCCCCTCCCCGACCCAGTGTCCCTGAGCTGCTGGGTGGAGGAAGCAGTTGGAGATCCCTGCCAGGCCTGTGATTGCTGAGTCAGCCTGCAGCAGTGAGTGGGGTGGTCAGGGCATGATCGCCAGCCAGCCGGCTCTTCCCATCCAGCCCCTGCTGCCCAGGAAAGGATCTGACAAACCACAGAAGTAAATAAATAACTTAGAAATAATAAATAGGGGTCCAGTTCCCAGGAGTGAGGACCGGGCCCGCTCGCTTCAGCAATGTGACTGCAGTGTTTCTGCTCCAATTCTGTCCCCTAGGACCTGGGCTGAGGCTGACACCGGAGCCACTGCTGGGTTGTCCAGGAGGAGTCCTGGGTCTGTGGCCTGGTCAGTGCCAGAGTCTGTGAGATGGGTCCTAAGGTCTCCATAGCCAGGACACTGGGGTCTGCAGGGCCGGGACTCGCAGGGCGAGGACTGCGGTCAGTCATCCCTCCATCTTTCCAGGGCTGATGCCCATCACTTGCTCCGCTGAGGCCTGTGATGTCCACCTCTGGCTGAGGCCCCAGGCCCCTTCCAGGCAGGAAGATTCCTGAGTAAGGGTGCCACCTGCAAATCCTTGGAGAGAGTTTTCAGCCCAGGCAGCCGCAGGCAGTGGCTGAGAGCCGGTCCACAGTCCTCCAGGTGCTGTTGACATCCATGAAGGAGACAGCCTCGTAGCGCGTCGGTCGGCAGCAGGGCTGGCTGACCGGCTGCGAGCCCGGGAGCGGCTGTAAGGCCCCAGCGCCCAGCAGCCTGGCCAGGCTGAGGTCGTGCGCGGAGCGCTCCCGGCGGCAAGAGCCGCTGCAGAAGCGGAAATGCACTAGCTCATCAGAGCTGTGGCCCAGGCCGAGGGCTCGCACAGGCACCAACTGCGAGCGCAGGCGGCAGCCCCGCGCCCCCACCGCCCGCGGACTGCCGCCTCGGCCCCAAGCCCGCGCTGCGCGGCCCCCGCGGGAAGGAGCTGGCGAGGGTGCGGACGGAGGGGGCGCGGGCCGGGGAGGTTGGGGGGCCGGCCGCCGGGCTCTTCCGCTGCAGGAACGGAACGGGCGGCCACCTAGAATGAGACGGAGTCAGGCGCTGGGTCCCGGGCCAGCCTCGCTGATACCCAGTCCCCTTGCCCTCTCACCTACCTGGCAGGTGGCCGACGGGGGGCGCCGGGGCTGGTGCGGGACCTTCACGGGTGGTGGGGCTGCGGGGTGCGAGGCCCAGAGAGGCCTCAGCGACACTGCTCAGCAGAAGCAGAGCAGCCAGGGTCGGCCACAGGGCAGGCTGCGCAGAGAGACAAAGTGGAGCCTCAGGGAGGAAGAGGCTATCCTGGTGGGCTCAGGGTGGAGGGAGCCCAGGGAAGGGCTGGGGCAGCAGAGACCAGAGCGGATGGGCTTCCGGCCGGGTAGGGGAACTCAGGAAGGGTTTAGGTTGCAGATAATGGGTCTGCTGCCTAAGGGAGCCAAGAGGAGAAATCACCTGAGGGCATTGACCTTCCTCCATACTCCTGGTCCCTCCCTGACCTTTTGCCTTTTCACTTCTGACACCTACCCAGGGCAAACCCTGCTCTCCCTCCCCAGTCAAGCCACTGTTCCTCAGTACCAGGTGGGAGTCACTGGGAGAACCACTCACCTGCCGCCGAGGCAGGGGCCAGCGGGGCAGCACAGAAGGGCCTCCACGTCCAGGCTCCATCTCTGTCAATACCAGGATCTCCCATCAGCCCAGTTGACCTGTTACCCCACCCTATTCTTGAGGCAGCTTGGAACATTGAGAGATGAGTTATCCTTGGAGAAGGTCCTCCCTCCCCTTCAGTTTCTCCAGGTGAGGGACAAGGGTTTGGATAGGCAGACTCAACCCAGGAGAAGTAGCTGCATCAGGAAGTGAACGATGCGTGGCGCTGTGCACCTGTTCTCCCTCTCCGTGCGTACAACTCCACGAGGTAAGCGGTATCATCCCCATTTTCCACATGAGTGAACAAGGCTCAGAGAAGCTCAGCGATTGCCTAAGGTCACAAGGCTAGACCCACACAGCTGGGGGGAAGTGGGTATTTGGAAACGGTCTCCCCTTTCAGAATCTTCCTGCTTTGTGCTGCAGGGCTGGAGCTGCCAGGACGAGCTGTAGAAGCGCGTAGCTGGAGCCCCTTGGCCCCACAGCTTTCTCTCCATGCCACCCTGGAGGAAGCTGGGGCCTGAATAAGAGCTGGGTGCTTGCTGGTTGACCCAAGGTATCTGGTGGTAGTGAGGTCCAGGCTTCAGCCTGTGCTGCCCACCCGATGCTGCTGAGCCTTGCTCCTCTGTGGTCTTTGGGCCCAGAGCCACCTGAGTTCTCTCTTCTGATCACAGATATCTCTGAAGAGCCAGCCGATGGTGGGACCTGATGGGCCCTCGAGAACATGGGGCCCGGGGCCATGGCTCCCTTTGGCCACCAGGGGGCAGCATCTGCCAAGCATGCAGACTCAAAGGAGGGGTGGGCTTTTCCCCACCCTCAGCCAGACTCAGGCCTGAACAGCTTCCAGGAGGGCCAGCCAAGCCTCCACACCAGCCTGGTCTGAGAGCTGAGCCGGTCTGAGAGCTGGTCCAGGTCTGTTCCCCTTCCACCTTCCTGTGCATCCGACAGCCTGGCCCTGCTCCAAGACGTTCCCCTAAGAGCCATCCTTCCTGAGCCCAGCCAGCCTTTCTGAGCCGCACCAGATTTTGTGAGCCCACACTGGCTGGCATTCCCAAACGCCCTTTGGGGCCCCAGAGAGCTCATGAGCCCTCCTCACTAGCTAGTCTGCTCTTGGGTCCCAACTGTTGCCTGCACCCCCAGCCCCCAGCACACAGAATGTTTGCACACTTATGGGTCAGACCCTGCAGGCCTCCCCGGCGCGGTCCATCTCAGGTCCAGCTGTGCTCAGCTAATAAATAGGAGCACTGAGGGGCCAGGCCAGGGACTGTTCTCACTGATGGCGGGAAAGCCAGGCAAGGCAGCCTTCAGGAACCGCTGTGCTAGGGGGTCCCCAGGAGCGGGTCTCTTGAGGGCAGCTAGGCTCCTGGTGGTCTGGGGCCACTTGGTCCTCTAGTCCTTGCCCCCCCATCTGCCAGCCAGATACTCACCACAGGGATCCTGCAGTGTTCTTCTAGGCACCTTCCTTGGGGCCAGCTCTGGACTTTTCCCCGCAGCTCACAAGGCTCATGCCCAGGGCTGTGCACCTGGCAGTGCTTCTTTTAGCCAAAAGTGTGGCCTTGGCAGCCGGTCTGTGCCCTGTAGCAGCAGCAGGAGCCTCACATTACAGTGGGCCGGCAGGGCTAGCACAGTCCGACAGGCGACCAGAGGGACAGAGGGGGCTGGGAGGGGCGGAGAGCAGCGCAGCAAGCCCAGGAGAGGGAGGATATGAGAGAGTGGTGGGGGACTCTCCTGCCCGCTCCCCCTAGCCCCAGGGCCGGGAAGAGGGGTGGGCCAACAGGTCGGCTTACCTCGGGTGCAGGGCTCTGGGTCTGGATGCAGCAAGGGCTTGGGCCCGAGGGACCTGCTGCTGGCGGAGCCCGTGGGCCGTGTCTGGGGGCCGGGCCCAACTCCATCCCTCAGCAGCCTCATGCCTGCCGCCGTCCGGTGTCAAATTCCAGCCCCGGCGTCACCGGATCCCGGGGTGGGGCCCGAGCGCCCCCGCCCCGCCCCACCTTTCGGGGCTCACCTGGTCGGTTGCTCCGCCTGTTGGGATCCAGTCCCCCCCCAGTTTGGCAAAGTCCCCTAAGATGAAGGGGAGGACGCTGGGAACTTGGAGAACCCAGGACACAGCATGAAGAAACGGGGCGGCGGAGAGGCGAGGAAAGTGGTCGTTCAGTGTGTAGACACATGAAGTAGGGAGTTGGGAGGCAGGGCTGAGGGCGGGAGAGGGAGGGGACAGGCCGGTCCCTGCCTTGGGCCACCTGCCCTCTGGTTTGCGCCATCTCTGGGGTCCTGGCTGGCTGCCCAGCAGTGACTACTCTCTGCTGTCTGGTCCACCGCTGGTTTCTTCTTGCAACAGACCCATCGAACTCGTTGGGTGGGCCAGGCACTACGCTGGGGCTTTCAAGGTCTGACCCTGCTCCAGCGGCCATGCCACCCCCCTCCCTCGCCACGTGAGGCTTGGAGTAGAGACACACCTGTGAACACCGCTGCTCACCCACACGCAAGGGTAGTGCTTGCAGGAGTGGGAGCCCAGGGCTGAAGTGTGTGGCCGGGGGAAAGCGGGTCACTGAGGAGGGACATTGTGCCCTTGCTTGAGTAGGAGCTGGAGGGTAGTATTTTGGAAGCCTAATTATGGCAATTTGGCAGGTGAGGTGGAGGTTGGTGAGTAACATGGATAGAGGTACAGAAAGGCCCGATGCTGTATCATACCAGGAAGTCTGAACTTTGTCTTACTGACACTGGGGACCAGCGTTTCAGGTGGGAGAATGGTGTGTCAGACGTGCGTTTCTCTGACTGACTGGCTGCAGTGGGGAGGAGAGTTTGGAGATGAAAGGCGAGGATGTGAGGAAGCTGCTGGGGGAGTGCAGTGGGGAGGACAGTGGTGGGGAGGTGGGGGGACGGTTCACTCGCGGCCCCTTTCAGGACCACAGCTTCTTCAGGGCTCCGCTGCTGTCTGACTGGACGGTGTAAGGAGGGAGGGCGGACAGTAGTGTGCCTCTGGCCTGGGTGACCAGGTGGAGGGGTTGTATTCTGGCCGAGAGAGCTCCCTGGGGGAGGGGCAGGGGCTGCCGAGTTCAGCGGTGGGCGTGTTGAGCGGGGAGGACCTGTGGATTATTCCAGTGGAAAAGGCCAGGATGCAGCTGAATGTGAAGCCTGGAGTAAAGCGGAGGGAGCTGGGCTGGAGATGGCAACTGACAGCTGGACATCGTGGGTGGAAATGCAAGCGCTCAGGGGACGTGTGAGGACCGGCCACATCCTGGCTGTGCATTAGAGCCACCTGTGGACCTTTTAAAACCACCCACATTCGGGCCCCACCCCAGACCTGAATCAGAATCTTGGTTCTAATGTGCTGGTTCCCAGATCTGCACAGGTGGCTCTGGTGTACGCCCAGGGCTGAGAACCACGGGGTCTGGGAGAGCAGTTTCTGTGCACGGGCGGAGACCCAGGCTGCAGGGGGGCTCTCTGCAGGCTCGAGGGACCCCTGTGCAGCAGGAGGGCAAGGGGTGAGCACTGTCCACTGCCTCCCACAACTGGCTGCCCAGCTGGGGTAGCGTCCCTGGGGCTGCATCAGCCATGGCTGTGGCTTGCAGGCGTGCAGCCAGTGCCCTCTACAGCTCCGGGGGGTGCGGGTCATGCAGAATACCGTGCGCGCTGGAGTGGGTTGTCTGTCCCTCAGTTGAGGAGGCTTCTGCCTGAGGACAAGACACAGCAGTAAGGAGACATGTGGGAAGTCAGTGGTCCCTGGGATGGCCAGGATTCTTGGATGGGGATGGCAGGTGAGAGGCGAGGGGCCAGTCAGCCCCACTTATGCCAAGCGGGCAGCCACGGGGGAGCTTCTGGCTAGCTCCGGCCATGGCCTCAGGTGCTGGCATGTGTTTGGCCCTCTCAGGCCTGCCTGGGGACGCTCGGGAAGGGGGCTGGGCATCGGATTCCACGGCCCTAAGGAGGTAAGAAGGGGAGAGACATCCTTTATAACATTCGCCAGAGGGTGCCGAGTGCGGCCAGTGAGGGGGGGGCTGGGGAGACGGTGTGCCCGAATGCTGAGGATGGGGTGGGGTGTGTCCTTTCCAGGGCTCAGCCAGGGGTGCCAGGGGCAGGTTAGATCTGTGGACCTCTCTGTGTTGGGGGCTCAGCACAGTACGTCCCCTGTACCTGTCGGAATCTGTCCCTGCAGCACTGGGGCTGTGGTGACCCAGAGGCACTGTCCTTGGGGGCTTCGATCCTGCCCTCGGGCCCCTTTAGGAGGCATCAGGGTAGACCCTGGGCCAGGCCCTGACACCCCGGTCTCCCTCTCAAGGCGAAGAGGGTGTAGGACTGTGCAGGATGAGAGAGGCTCCAGCAGGCCCCTAGGTGGCTACCCAGCCGCTGTGGCTGGCACAAGAAGTGAAAGGAACCCAGGGACCTGAGAACTGGAATGATGGGTCTAGCATAGTTGCGAAGGCCCCAGGTTCTTGTTTCTTCTAGGAAAGTAGGAGAAAGCAAGAGGCGGCAAGGTGTAGGGAAGAGCTTTATTGCTTCCATGATGACTGCCACAGCCTGGGTAAGGTCCTTAGGCCTCACTCCCCTCTGGTCCAGGCTAAAGGCAGGACCCAAGGACCTGGCAGTCTCACTGCTGAAGCCCAGAGCAGCTGCCAGTCCAGGCCTGGGGCACTTTCCCATGGATCAGCAGCAGCTGGGGAGGAGGCCATTCTCATCGGGCTGGGCCAGGCCTCTCCTTCTGAGCTCTGATGCAGGGATTGTCTTGCTGGCTTAAAGGATGGCTCCAGGGTTTCCCTGTGGAACCACTGGGGGCCGGTATGTGGGAATACCCCATGTGCTCCCCAAGAAAGGCCCAACAATGCCATGAGCTGGAGGGGGCTGGCACGAGATCCTGCGTCCCTCCCTGTGGCTCCGGCGCAGAGTACCGGCCAGTCACAGCACTCCCACTCTGCGGGGAGCCCACTGGCACCTCTGCTCAGTGGGCCCTCTACTGGGCCTCTTTCTGCACAGCAAGTGGACCAAACAACATCTCCAACCTTATTTAAAAATAAATTATCCCTGCCCTCCCCCCCGCCCCCCAATTCACAAAATGATAGTACACCAAACACTGATTGGAGAAATAATTCCGGCAGCCGCCTTGCTGCCTAATGTCCACCTTCTGCATGCTGGCCTGCTGGACACGGCCAGGGCCCCCCGACACCTGGCTCTAAGGGTCCAGGCTGAGAGTGAGGCCGACTGCTGGGCTCTGAGGCTGGCTGGGCTCTGAGCAGACACAGCTCTGGCTGCCCTGCCAAGGCCTCGCCACCCCTGGGGCTACTTGGCACTGTCCTTCCCCGGGTCTGCAGACTCCTGTGCCTCTCAGGCAGAGCCAGACCAAGGCCAATGAAGCGGGCTGGTGGCGGTGGCTGCTGCTTGCTCTGGGCGGTGCCGGGACCTCTGTGGCCCTGTTCTGGGCACACCTCAGATGCCACTGGTTAGGTCAGTGATGACACGCGCTTTGACCAGCTTCCGCAGAAACTCTTTCTCTCGTTGAATATTGTGTGTCCAGGACTGGAAGGAAAGAGATGGAGAAGCGGTCAGCCGGGCAGCCTAGGTGGCTGCTGGGACACAGCCCCACCCAGAGCTCAGTGCCCTCGTCTGACCACCGCCCTCCGATGCTCTGTGGCCCAGCCCATCCTCCTCCCTTCGCGGGGTTGGGGAAGATAACCTTCGGGCTCCTTTCCAATCCAAGAACTATACGCCTCTTAACTTCTTGTAATCTTAGTAGATACAGGCTTTCTAACCTTGTACCCCAAAACTTTATCCCCCCCTTGTCCAGCAGCACATCCGGGACACTGAGGTCCTGGGTGCCCTGAGGACACGCAATGTGAGTCACTGAGGTCCAGCCGGGGCCTGGGGAGTGGGCCCTGCTGCAGAGAGAGCCGTGTGGGGCGGCTTAGTCATTCTCTGGCCTGATGCAATCCACTGCCCCAGGCCTGCGGGCAGCTGATGACATCCTGCCTCTCAGATCAGAGGAGCCAGGAGGCCAGAGGGCAACAGGCTCATCTCACTGTTAACATGGAAATCACAGGGAAAATGCTGCCTTCTCCCTGGGGATGGCTGTGCCAGGCTCAGGTTCTTTCCTATTCCCAGTAATCACCAGCAAGCTTTGATGACTAAGTCTCTCAAAGAATGAAAAAGATTTGAATGAATGAATACCAATAGCCTTGTACTAACACTCATTACATAGTTGGATGCAGTTGTTGGATGCGTAGTTTGTATCCAACTGACCACCCTGTAGCATCTGTCAGCACTGAGCCTCAACCATGGTGATATTAACAGCCACTGGATAGCGGTGCTAAGAATTTACAGTTCCGTCTCGTCTTTATTCTGATCCAGTCACCTCTCTCCATCCTGCCACTGTACTCTTCCATGCACGAGCTGCCCCTCCTGTGGCAGACCCCTGGGTGATCTGTCCTCGTTCTCCAAAAATTCAAGCATCTGTGTCCCTCTCTTTGAAGGCAGGGACAATTTGTCACAGAGTAGGTGCTCAATAAATGTGCTGGATGAAATTAGATTTTATAGGTAAGACATGGAGGCTTGGAGGAAAGGCCAGGGTCCGAGCACATGGTGAGACTCATCCAGCTCTTTACTCACGCCCACCCCCCACCCTTCATCACTCCCAGGAAGAGCCACCCAGCCCGGTGGGGCAGCCTCAAGGCTGTCCCCTGGCAGTCACTGCGGGGCGAAAGGTCAGCAGGGACTGGGTGTTTGACGGTATTGAGGAATCATTGTTAATTTTTCTGGGTGTGATGGTGGTATTATGATAGTAGAAAACAGTCACCTGTTTGAGAAACTTACTGAAATATTTATGGCTGAAATGATATGGTACCTGAGACTTGTTTGCAAAGAATCAGTGGGGAGGGAAAAGTATGAGAGGAAGAAAGAGATGGAAAGCACTGGCCATGTGCTGATGGGGGTGGTGGTGGCAGGTGACAGCTACATGGAAGTTCACACTGTTCTTCTCTGAATTTATGAATATGTTCAACAATGTTCACAATAAGCGTGAACAAAACAAGTCTGCCTGGGGTGTGGCTCGCTCAGCCCAGGCACCACCACCGCTCCGGCGCTCCCCCCCAATGCTTCCTCCCGTGCACACAGCACAGGGGTCGGGTGGTGCTCTCCGCGTCCACGTTGCGGGATGCCAGCCTCTGGGAGCACGTGAGCACGAGGAGAGAAGATTGTCCAGGATGGAGCCCTGGCTAATGCTGGTTCTTAAGGGGTAGACTGAAATCAAGAACAAGAGCTGTCCACACGTTGGACACGTTGTCCACAGGCTGGGGCGGGGTTCTGGTTCCAGGTCCCCAGCCTCACCAGGACCTCCAATTCTGGGTACAGGTGTCCGTCCCAGTCACAGGCTACACTCTCAGAAAAGCATTCCTTCTGACAGCTCTTTTGTCTCCATCTCCGGCTCTGGCTCCTAGTGCTTCACCCAGTCATTAAATGTTGGTGCTCACAGGGTGCTGCCCTGACTACCTGCCTTTCTCAGTCTACTCTTCCCCGGGAGACTCACCGCTGCCCGCCCTGTCTCTGAACTTGCCGCTATGCTGACAACTCACATTTCCGGCCTGGGCTTCTCTGCTGTGCTCTGGCTCCGGAGTCTTCATCTCTTGCCTGGACCGCTGGGATGGCCTCCTAACTAGTTTCTCGTCCTGCCCTGCACCACCCCGCCCCTGCCCCCCCACCGCCACTTCACTTAATGGCATTTCATGTTTCACAGGCTAACCCGTGGCTTAGTGCTCCTGCTTCTGCAGCTCCCTCCAGCCTTTAGAGCAAAGTCAAGACCCCTCACTGTGGCAGAGGAAGCCCCTCGTGATCCAGTGACTGCCTGCCTGTGTCTACGTCTCTCAAGCTGACATAAAAAAAATGTGCCAGAGAGCAAATGTGTAAGTAAATGGAGGCCAGGAGGCAGGTAAAAGCTGCAGGAACATTTTGGAGTGGACAGAGGGTCAAAAAGGCAAGGAGATATATCATGACAGGCAGAGATGGAGAGGCTAACAGGATCATGGTAATGAGGAGGCAGGGCAGGAGCCGCTGAGGAGAAGATGACAGCTCTGGAACTCTCCTACACCCAGGAGGAGCTTTCTGCACCTGGACCCCATTTCAGGCAACAGGAGGCCAGGAAGAGCTGGAAGGCTCTTCCTGATTTCCCATGAGATCCCCCAGTCTTCCATACACCCTTGGAATAATGTCCAATTACTTGAAGTAGCCTGAATGAACCAAAAAAGCCTCAAGCAATCTTAGCAGTAACTGGAGCCGTGGATGAGGATGTCAGCCTCCTGGAGCACGTGAGCACAAGGAAAGAAGACGGTCCAGGATGGAGCCCTGGCTAACGCTGGTTCTTAAGGGGTAGACTGAAATCACGGACATGGAGAAAGAACAAGAGCGGCTGGCAAGTAAAATCACTGACTCAGACATCTACGCAGCAGAAAAGTTTCAGAGAGGAAGGACTGGTCATCATAAAACGTGCTCCTGAGCGCCCTGACCTGTGTGGCTCAGTGGGATGGGCAGCATCCCACAAAGCGAAAGGTTGCGGTTCGATTCCAGGACAGGGCCCATGCCTGGGTTGCAGGTTCGGTCCCCAGTCAGGGCACATAGGAGGAGCAACTGATGGATGTTTGTATCTCACATTGATGTTTTCCTCTCTCTCCTTCTCCCTTCCTTCCCCTCTCTTTTTAAAAGGTGCATCTGAGAGATCAGGAAAGGTGAGACATGTGTCCACTGGATTTGGAAGCCCTGAGGTAAGTCACTGCTGACCCTGGTGGGAGTCAGGTCAGGTGAAGGGGGCAGCCAGGCTGCAAGGGGCAAGGGGCCGCATGGGAGTCAGGAATGCAAAGGGGACAACCCAGCAGGAGCTGACAAGTCCCTGCTGCAGCCTGTGTTCTCACTGGAGGAGAGGACGGTGGTGGCAGCTTTCAGGGAGTGTGAGGCTCTGGGACAGTGCGGTGGGGACTGGATAGGGCGTGTGACGACTGGCAAGCAGGAATGAGGGCTAGCTGAGCTGAGGGCCCTAGAACTGTGATCTGCACAGACGGGAGGCTTCCCCCAACAACCCCGCACACAAACGCAGGAGCAGGGAGGCTCCTTAATGAGCCAGCCCAAGGTGTCCGAGGTCCAGACTGGGATCAGGGGAAGGCTAGTGGCAGAAGTGAAGGAAGCGGTAACAGGGGTCCAGATTTCCCTTGTGGGCTCTTGCTGTGAGGGGAGAGATGTGGGAGAGGCTGCTGACAGCCTGGGAGAACGGTGATACTCCTTCAACTTTAAGATGCCTGAGCATGTGGATCACCTAGGAAGTAATTCTGGGTGACACAGAGATCTACCACTTGGCCATGGGGAAGGGTGGAGGAGGTATAGGAGGGGTCCTGAGACTAAGGGGCAATATTTGTGGGTTGTCTTAGGGGGCAAGGAAGCCCTCAGGAAGGAAGACAGGACTTGGGGTAGAGGAGATGGCTCTGAGCTGGTGCCAAGGTTAGCGTGTAATGGCTGGGGAACAGCAAGGAGGAGGCAGGCGCACGACCAGGGAGAGGGCCAGGCAGGGCGAGTTCAGGAAGAAAACTGGGGCAGGAAGTTCTGGGTTCATGGGGAGGCCAGGGAGATGTGCACAAAAGATGCTTTGTGGTCAGAGGCCCGCAGGCAGGGATGGACCTCCAGTGTCCCAACCGCACTGGGCGGGGGACGCAGCACCTTGCTGGAAGCTCTGGGCAGCCACAGCGGTTGCCTTGCCGGCTCAGCCTTTTACCATTCACTTGTAAACCCGGTCAGAGCCTGTCCTTTGTGCCGGAAGTGCCCCCTCCATGAGCCCCGCCCCCCACCCAGCCCCACACCTCTTTGATGGCTGCCATGCGCACGGTCTCGTAGTAGTGCAGGGGTGCATTGGGCGTGCTCATGTCGTAGCCAAAGCCTGCGACGGCCACCTCATCACAGCCGTGTAGTGCCATGGTCACTGCCACACTGCCAAGGGTCGGGATGTTCTGGAGGAGGGGAGGGCAGAGGTGCAGAGTTCAGCTGGAGGGCTGAGAGAGGCTGAGGTCCTCAGCCAAGCTCCCCAGAGCTGAGCTCCATTCCCGAGGACAGGCCCTCTGTTCCCACCCTGCCTCCCCATCCTTCCTTCCCAAGGCCCCTCTGACCCAATATCCCCTCTTTCCTCTCCTGGGGCCCAGATATCTCACCCCACGGCCCATGAGGCCATTATTGAAAGGCAGTCCAATGAGGGTGAAGGCAGCTTCCTGGATGAAATATGGGTTGAGGATACGAATCTCAGGGGGCTCCTTGGGCACTCGCGTGGCCACAGACTTCCAGAAGCCATCCGATGCGCTCTGTGGACACAGCACAGGTGGGCGTGAGCTGGGCACGCAGACTGAGAGGGGGCTGTGAGTGGCAGGGACCCACAGTGTTTCCAGGGGAATGAGAAGTACGGTGTGGGGCATGAAGTGATACTGGAGAACCTGGGGTATACGGGATGAACGCAGACGGTAGAGGGAGGATGTGGTGTGCCGGGCAGGCACAGTGTGTGACAGAGACGAGGGTGGGAACAGTGAGCATATGGGTGGGCCATAGTGTGTAATGGCGGATCCAGAGTGAGCGGCATGGCAGGGGCACAGGGTGTGGGGCACTGGGGAGCACTGCTCTGGCCCGCGGGTGTTCTCGGGTTGACAGGAAAGCCCCACGGCCCAGCTATGCCCCACCCCTCCGCAGCTGCTGAGGGGCCCGGGAGGAGCCTGCCCTCTCTCTATCTGCTCTGCTGGGCTCGCCTCCTTTCCCTTCTGTTGTGTCTCCTGGCTCTCAGTCAACTGTTCTAAAGTGAACCTGAAAAATAAAGACAGAATGTGAGCCAGCATGGCAACCCAGAGCAACACTCAAATTCCAGTTCTGCCACTGACTGGAGTGGGGTGACTTTGGTCAAGTGACAAGCCCTCAGAGCTTCAGTTTCTTTTAACTGCAAAAATGAGACCATTCTTCCCCCAGAGATCTCAGTGCCATAATGAAAAGGCATCTGCTTTGAAACCTAACATCCCAGTGTGCATTCCAGGGCCATGCCTTTCTCTCCTCACTCCCTTCCTCTGGTCCTCAGCCCCGCTTTTCTGGTCAAGACCCTGGAGCACACCACGTCAGCTACGTGACTGTGAGCTCCCTCAACTCCCCGCCCCGTGCTCTTCAATCGCCTCGGCCCAGGGAGAACCTGAACTTGGGTTCAATCCATTTATCCTCTCTTGCAACTGGGCTCCTGAGCACTGATGGAGAAAGTCACAGACCAGCCCTGCAGGCTGGGGGCATTACCAAGCCATGGACGCCAACCTGTTACATCCAGGGAGTTTGCTATTTCCCTGGAAAACCTGTAAGAATCAACTGAACTTCATGGATAAAATAAGTAATAGGATCTGTACTCCAATAGGAAATACAAAAGAAATTCCATTTGCAGTCCTAAAGAAAAATAATCAAATGCTGATCGATAAACTTAAATATGTGGGACCTATAATATAAAAAAAAGGTACAATCCTTTATTGAGAGATCTAAACAATGACTTGAAAAAAATGGGAGACAAGCCATATCTTGGATAAGAAGGCTGAATATTAACAGAATGCCACTTCCTGCCAGATTAATGTAGGCTTAATATAATTCTAAGAAAAATCCCAGTAGGATTTCTTTTTTGAAATTTACCAAAAGGATTCTAAAAACCCATCCAAATATTTAACGGGTAAAAATGGCCCCCCAATTTAAAAAATTAACTATTAGAGTATACCACAAATTTGCAGTTATTAAAACATTGATAGACATATAAGAATCAACACAAAGATAAATGAAAATGAACCCAGATAGCCCAGAAGCAGAACACACTGTACATGCACATACGCTCAGGGTATGTGATAAAGGAAGCTTCAACTCAGCGGGGACAGGTTGATTTTCTCAGCAAGTGATATTTGAAAATTTGCTATTTAGAAAACAAAGGTCCACTTCCTGCCTCTCCCGCTAAAAAAGTGAAACTAAAAGAAAATTTAGATGTATATATATCTTATTATTTTTAATCATTTTTATTGTTCTTCTATTACAGGTGTCCCAATTTTCCCCCTTTTGCCCTTCTCCGCCCATCCCACCCCGCCTTATCATTAAGCTTCTTAAACATTAATGCAATGTTAGAAACAAAAAGGTAAACAAATTTTGACTTTGTACACATTTTTAGTGCTTTGGTATATCAAAAATACAGTAAGCAAAATTAAGAAGGAAACAAAAAAGTAGGAAAAATTTTGTCACAAATAAAAACATGTATTTTAAAAATTCATGAAAAATCAATGAGATCCCATAAAAATTGGAAAAGAACATAAAATAAGGTTAGAAAGCATGAAAAACTCAACAGTGACAAAATTTTAACTAAATACTATCTCTAAAATACAGGGTGGGCATAAGTAGGTTTACACTTTGTATGGAAAATAGTACAATGAATAATAAACAATATAAGAATAAACTCAGTTTTGCATACTCACAACTGAAAACCCACTTTTGCCCCACCCTGCACATCTCGGTGGGTCCTGCACCCAGGCCTGTATCCCAGTGCCTGGGGCGGTGTGCTGAGGGGAGGCTGCCCTGCAGGGCTGTAGGAGTGAGGGTTGGTACAGCCTTTCTGGAAAGCAATCTGAATATGAATCCGAAGCCTTAGGGCTGTTTATACCCAAAGACTGCAAACTGCTCTCCTACAAGTAATCAGAATGGTGAAGATCTCTGTAAAATGCTGTTAATTACAGTGTTATTTACCAAAGTGTAAAACCTGAAGAAAAAAAAAATCCAAAAGTGTACCATAGAGATTTGGTTCAATGAAACATCTCTATAAATAAATGTTACAGACACTGAAATTATGTTTTCTAAGAATTCTGGCACAGGGATGTACACACCGCACGTAAGCGGCCCTCTGTTTCTGGACTCTGAATTGTTGCTACTTTCCCCAGATCTGCTCCTGCTTCTCCTGTGTCCCCTCTCTGCCAATGCCCTCCAATAAGCCAGAAACCTCAGAATCGACTTTAGATCCTTTGTCATCTCTCCAGACCATCCTGTCCTACTGGGCATCTAGCCCTTTTGATTTACCTCCGTAGAATCCCACAGACCCACCTCTTCCTTTCAATCCCACTGCTGCCTCAGAGGTGCAGGCCTCATCACCTTTTCGTTGGACTGTCCTAACGACTGGCCACTCATAGCATCTGTCTCGATGGCTGCTCAGAGCCCACAGCCCAGTAGTGACTGCCACATGAATGGTACACAGTAAATAACTGTTAAATTCCATCCATTTAGCCAACAAACATGTCATCAGTACCTAGAGTGGGCTGCCTCTGCCTCCTCTACCACCTTCCACTCTGCCAGGATGATCTTTCTAGATCCAAAGCTGATCACATCACCACTGCCCACAGACCTGAGCAATTCAGCCAAGAAGCCCTGCCTGCCACTCCAGTTTCCATTCCGGCCCATCTGAAGTCCCCACCTGCCAATTCATGACTCCGTGCTTTTGCGGGTGCTGCTCCTATCTCCAGTGATCCAACCTACTCGTTTTTAAGACTCAGCATATCCTTCCTCGGGCCTTTCCTGACCCCACTCTCCCCAAGGCATAAATGACCTCAAACCTTTGGAAGGCAATAGACTATAGAGTTAAATCTGCTCTGGTTTGAATGTGGAGCCCTCATGGGTGGCATGAATGCCTTTGTAAAAGAGGCTGCAGAGAGATGCCTTGCCCCTTCTGCCAGGTGAGGACACCGCGTAAAGAAGGCAGTCTATGAATCAGGAAGCCCTCACTGAACACCAGCTCTGCCAGCGCCGTGATCCTGGACCTCCCAGCCTCCAGAATGGTGAGAAATAGATTTCTGTTGTTTATAAACCAGCCTAAACGGACTAGATTCAACTTCAGCTCTGGTCACTCTTTGTGTGGGGACTCCAGGCAAGGCGCTCACCATTTCCTTATGGATAAACCAGGATACTAACAGTGCTTATCTTGTGGGCTGTTGTGGGAATTAGATAATTCAGACTGAGTGCCAGCTCATAGTCACCTGACTGGCTGTTATCACCACCATCATCATCAGCGGCGTGCTGCGACCCTAAGCCATGCAGGGCAGAGGCTCATGTCAAATTCACTTCTGCAGCCCAGCCCAGCACCTGGCAGCGAGTGCTGAAGGAGACCTGCAGCCCACCCACGGCTCCTCCATTGCTCTCCTCCACAACAGAGGGCTCCCGCTGGTTACCACCTCTTCAGGCCTGTCTTCCGCTGCCTTGAGTGGACCGTCTCTGTTCCAGCCACGCCCTCCTCGTGTCTCCCCACCTCTGTGGCAAAATCTCTTTCACTGGCAGATTCTGTCTGTTCTCCAAGAGTCAGGTGAAAGGATAGGCCCTTGGGGCCAACCTCTCTGTCCCAGAGCCAGAGTGACAGGGAGCAGATCCCAGGCTGTCTTGCCCCTGTGCCTCCCTCTCTGTGTCCAGGAGAGGTGTTGGTGTGAGGGAAGTAAAGGCAGGGATAACAGGGCCCAGTAGGAAAGGGGAGGGTAGAGAAACGCCAAGATCTTATACAGAGCTGGAGACAAGGCCCTCCTGGGAGGGCCGGACACAGACCGAAAGGAATGGCAGGTGCCAGCCTGCGCCAGCTGAGGCACAGCCCCTGTCCCTTCCCCAGAGCCTGGCAGGCCCCAGCAGTTCCCCACCCGGGGTTCCTGCCCATGCGTGCCCCGCACACACCTGAAGAGGAAAAGGCGCAGGGGCTGCTTGGGGGAGGTAGGAAGAGCCAGGAATGGGCACAGCTGGGGGTGTGTGCCAGGCTCCAGGCTAGTTTTCACCACATTATTTACATCTCATCAACCTACACCAACTTCACGGGTACGAACCCAGGATGAAGCAACATGTTCAAGGTCATGCAAGTGACTGTGCCAAGATTCAAATACAAGTGTTGCGACTCCAAGTTGGGTGTTCTTTCTGCCATACCATTTATAATTATCACTGCTGTTTCCACTTCAGGAAGTCGGGAGTCAAGATTGAGTAAGAGCTCCCTTCTGCCCTCAGGAGCTCTAAGAGGGTAAGGGTCCCACATCCCATGTCACAGAGGGGCCCAAGGCTCAGACTGGTGAGGGGACTTGCCCAAGATGCACCAACAGCTGTGAGATTCTGAGCTGAACCCAACTTCAGGACCTGGGCACTTTCATGACATGAGATGCCCTCTCTGAAATCAGGTCTCTTGGCTTTCCCCATGTGCTGAAAGTCCCATATGTAACCACTGTGTGAAACTAGGAAGTTATGCTCTTTGAGAATCTAACAAAAGCTTCAGCGGGGAGGGTAAAGCCTCTGCCTCTCTTCC